CTCTCATAGTTGAGGTATACCTATGATGAAAATTACAGGCCTCTCTCATCTTTTTAAGTGGGAGAACTTGCACAATTGGTGGCTGACTAAATACTTTTTTGCCCCACTGTATGCCAAGAAAATGCAGGTTGAGTTAACCATTAGCATCCCAGAGAAAATATAACATTGAGATAGTAAAGTATCCTCCATGTAGTAATAAATAACTGCAAATAAGTAATTTAAAGAATGGTTGTGAATCATAGAATCCAGGGTGATATTGTTTCTGCCTGCTTTAACAGCATCTACCAGTATTGTAGCAAATGGTTTTACTCTTGCACTTAATTGCTGCTCTAAGGAAAAATATTTTTTTCTGTATGTATTTGGAAGGAGTTGGAGGTAGGGTGTACTTCTAGGAAAACTGTTGAAAACATCCTGAAAGTCTAAATGAACACCATAGGCAGAAGACAAATGTTTATGGTTTCAGCAAAAATACTTCATAATTGAAGCTCATGTTAGCCACGACAGTTGCTGAAAGAGACAAAGTACTTATGGAAGGAGAAAAGCAGAGGAATAGGGGGCATATTGGGTGAACTAATGGAAAGAGGTAAGGTACACTCAGAATGAAGAGACTTATTGGAGAATGTTAGTAGGGAAATAAAAGGAGTTAGGTTTTCTTAGTTGTACTGAACAGCTAGGTTGCATAGCATTAAATCGGATTCCCAGATGTGCTCCAGAGTGCCTCCCAACCCACAAGAGTAGATAGGGATAAGAGATATTTGGGAGGTTGGGAATTGTTTGGTGGTCCATTTTGCACAAAGAAAATCCACCAATGGGAAAGAATTCAAATGGGGAAAAGTGGTCTGAATGGTGAAGTTTTTAGTGGGTTCACTATAAGATGAAAATGAAAGAAACTAGAGTTCATCTGCCCTTTTATTCTCCTCTCTGTACAACTTTGTAGCTTGAGTCATTGCACTGATCTTGCTGACATGGGTTTTTCCCAGAGAATGCTTTTGGATAAGTCCTTTCCTTTCTTAGTGCAAATATATATCTTACTAGACTTGGACACTGTTGAAGCACATTACAAAGATGAAGAAGCAATTTCAGTTTGGATTGTTTTCTGTTTGTTTTTTCCCAGTTCCTCATCTATCTGTTGTGAAAGAAATGATCAGACGGCTGCAGGAGCTCCGCCATACTGAGCAAGTTCAGCGAGCTTATGCTCTGAACTGTGGAGAAGGAGCCACAGTCAGTTATGAGATTCAGATCCGCGTATTGAGGGAATTTGGACTTTCTGATTCTGCTGCTGAGTTGCTGCAGGTATGAAGCAGTGAAGGCAGCATCCAGTTAGGCTGGCTTGATTCTTTTTTAACTGTTTTAGAAGGTGGAATCTGTGTGCATTCAGTTCCAAAGTAACTAGCATGTGCAAAAGTGTTGGAGAAGTTAGTGAATTCATTCACAGAGGAAAGCTTAAAGGGAGCAACACAGTTATATATTGTGATGTACAAAAATAACATTTTTGAATTTGTTTCTAACTGATGAACAAGAAAGTATTCCTACTGCTCCTTTATGCTGCTCTATCCTAAATGTGAGTTATCCATCAGGCGAAATGATGAGAATGGTTAATAAAAATAACAGCCATCTAAAGCTTTTGAATCAAATCCCCTGCTGAAAAGATGTTGATCTTAAGAACCCTAGACTAAAGCCTATACAGTTGTTCCAGTGTTTTTTCTTAAACCTTCCTAAGCTGCTACTACTGCTGACTTGCTTTTGGAGTAATAAATAAGCAGTGCTTTGAATCTGTTTATTCTGTTTAAATAAGGAAGAAAGTTATTTTTTAAAAAATGGAAGTGTTGTGAAGTGCTTTCTTTATTCCAGAGAGCCACCCTATGGTGATCTACAAGATGAAAATGTATATAGTTTTGTTCTTAAGATGGAACAGGAAGAGTTACCGTATTTTGCCCACTCAGACTCTGTAATTAGATGTACGTATTGATATAATTGTGCTGACATGTTGTGTTTGTTTTGCCTAGGCAAAGTAATTGTAGTGCAAAACTGCCATTTCCATATTGTTGACGTGGAGGAAGAAGTACGACTAAACGTTTATTTGTATTAGCAGAAGCGTTGAGATGCAGAAGTTTGTGTGATCTCCCCCTGCACTTTTTGTTCTGTCTTTCTGTTGCAGAATCCTCACAAGTTCTTCCCTGATGAGCACTTTGGGGATGAAAGCCCACTTCTGACCCTGAGACAGTCAGGCCGATGTCGTGTGAACAGCACGCCCACTGCAGAAACAGTGTTTACTGAGCTAGACTCTTTTGTGGCCTTCCATCCACCACTCCCCCCTCCTCCTCCTCCTTACCACCCACCAGCAACTCCAGTTCACAGCCAGTTCAAAGTCGGATGGAAGCAAAGAACCCAGAGTCAGCATCCCTCACGTTCTTTTTCTTACCCTTGTAACCATTCACTGTTTCATGCCAGAACAGCCCCGAAAGCTGCCCTACCCAATTATTTCTCTGGTGCCAAAGGCACACCTCCAGATTGCACTAATACTACAGGACTGGGAAGACAGACAGTTGCAGCTGCAGCAGCTGTGATGGCGGCTGAAAAGCAAGTGGTAAGAGTGCCTTTTTATTTTATGCACGTGCTACATTTTTAAATTTTAAATGTTTAAGTTTTATATTGTTTTATCTGTTCATAAACTGCCCAGAGTCATATGTATGAGATTGGTGGCCATATAAATAGGGAAAATAAAAAAAATAAAAAATTTCAGTGTTAATGTACCTATGCAGAGTGCTGTGAATAATACTCAGCATTTTAAGTTTACTATTACAGCTGTTGGAAGAGGAAAGGGCTTCATTTTGGACCAGTTGATTTGTGATCAACCACTGTGGCCTTGAATGATTCTATAAGAGATTGTACAAGCCATTATATAATTTCTTTGTTGTCTTAGTTGATAACAAATGAATCTAACATGCCCTCCAATGTGTATGTATGTGTTCGTTTATTCATTCATTTCAATTTGTATAGCTGACCATCTCAAACCAGTGACTCTGGGTGGCGAACAATCATAAAAACCATTAAAACAGTTAAAACACAATACAAAAAAGAAATTAAATACAAAAAGCAGCCAAGAGATATTATTATCCATCGGTGTCAACGTAGCCAGGAAACGGGGCCCTTCGCACACTTGTTAGGTAGATTTATGTGACAATGTAGATTAGTTTAATAGATTGACTCAAGCTCTTGCCAATCAAGATACCAAGATTGCTAGGGAGCATTAATGTACATAAAATAAAGCATGGTATGTAGAAGTGGATATCCAGTGAAGATTTAAATGAAACAGGAAGGGAAGCTAACACAATGGACAGCAAACAAAGTTCTTGCTCTCCTATTCATTTTCCTCCAAAGCCCTTCTAAGGAACATATCAAGAGATAAAAATAGTAAATCAGAATGATTGAATGTGGTAGCTGGGGTTTTTACTCATTTATTAAATTCCTTCCTGTAGATTGCATCCAAAGTTTTTCTGAGGAGTTTTCTCTTATGCTTTTACTTTTAAGTTGTTTTATGCTTAAAATTATGGCTAATTTTGGTTCTTCTGTGTTCTGTTACCTTCAGATGTTGTTTTTATCAAGGCGGGTAGGCTTGAAGAAAATGTATAGTTTATTTTTTTAAAGCTGTTACCTATTTTCAACCAACAGCTGATGAAAAAGGTTTAAAAGCAAGGCAGCTATTCACATGTATAAATATATAAAATGGCCTGTTACACAGCACAGTCTGCAAACAATAAAAGCTGGCCTGAAATAACTTACCTATAAAAAACCATGAATTCAGTAAGTTTGGTGAAAAGTCATGGCGTAAATTAAATACTGGAAATACATTCTACTTAGCTAACAGTTCTTCTGCTGTAATGGGGATAGGTCAAATATGCTTTCCTTTCATTATTTGCAAATTTCTCCTTCCTCATAATGGTCCTGTAGGAAGCTCTGCTCATATTTAGATCATTTCCTACTGTTAAGTCCATATTGTTTATCTGAGTAATGAGGAAAATATCTTATTGGATGAAGCTGAACAAACTAAAGCTGAATGTTTGCGACTTGTTTAAAATCTAACTACTGATAATCTGTTTTAAGAAGGAAATTATTTGCAGTTATGTACTTGTTTAGAACTTCTGAATTTACAAGTCCTTTGGCTTATGGGTTTTATTTTTAAGCATAAATATTCAGATTTTTCGCATTCAAAATCACCCATTGCTCCTTTCTAAAATTTAAATCATGCTTGAAAGAGATAGTTCTAAAGATTTGTTCATAAGCAGCTGAGTGGTTTGGAAGAAGTTTTTGATATTCAAGATTGTTTAAATTGCTTACCATGGATTTACTTTCAAATTTAAAAAATGCTTTCACTCAGGGAATCATAGAATCACAGGATTGGAAGGGATCTTGGAGGCCTTTTAACCTAACACCCTGCCCAGGGAAGGAATCCTCATACTGTTCCAGACAAATGGGTATCCAATCCAATCTGATGGAACACCCATGGCTTTAGCAAACAGACTGTTCTACTGCTTAATAGCTGTCACGTCTTTCTTATTACAAGTTTGGATCTCTGTCTGTAAAGCTTCCACCCAATGGTGGTTCTTATCCTTGGGTGCTATGGAGAAAAAATCCGCACCTGTGACATCCCTTCATGTATTGGAAGACTGTTAGCTTGTTGCCCTCTTAGCTTTTTCTTTTTTAAGCTAAACATGCCAAGTTCCTTTAACTACTCTTTGTAGAATTTAACTTTCAGGCCCTTTACCATTTTGTCACACTTCTCTGCATTCTTTCCAGTTTCTCCTCATCCTTTTTGTATTGTGGCAGCCAGAACTGGACACAGAATTCCAGATGTAGTCTGATAAAGGCAGCATTGAGAAGTACTGTCACTTCCAGTGATCTTGGCATGAAACCTTAATTTAATTAAAGGGGCTGGGTTATCTGAGGTACACATCACATCACATCAGCCCGTCCCATTAGATCCAGCAGGGAAGGTATGCTATGCATTCCATCGGCCAGGGGCTTGCATTTGGTGGGCCCCAGGAGGCAGCCTTCTCTGCCATGGCTCCCTCTTTGTGGAACATTCTCCCTTCTGAAGTGAGGCTCACCCCTTCCCTGCTGTCGTTTAGGAAGTCCCTCAAGACGTGGTTGTGTCATCAGGCCTTGGGGGTCTTTGGGAACTGGAGACATTCTTAGATAGCTCCATTGTAATTGATATTCTGCTCTCTCCGTGGGGTTTGTATATTCTAAAACCTATTTTTTTTTAATTTGTGATAATGCTTTTATTTTAATAATAACTTTGTATCTTTGTATATGCCTGTTTTTATTTACTTGTTATTTTATTAATTGTTGTATGCCGCCCAGTCACTTTGTGTGAGATGGGCAGTTATATAAATGTGATATATAAATAAATTAAATAAATACATAAATAAATAAACATCTATTGATACAGCCCAAAACAGCTGCGGTACACTGCTTGATTATGGTTAATCTGCAGTCTACCAGGATTTCCAGATCCTTCTCATAAGTACTACTGCTAAGCTAGGTACCATCTACCTTGCACCTGTGCATACATTGTTTTTTTTTTCCTGCCTAAGTGCAGAACCTAAAAATTTTCACTACTGAATAACATTTTGTTGGATAGGGCCCAATATTCAAGTCTGTCACGATCTTTTGAATTTTGAGCCTGTCTTCTGGGATGTTAACAACCCCCCACCAGTTTTGTGTCATCTGCAGATTTTGTGAGCATCCCTTCTATTCCTTCATGTACATCATTTATGAAGATGTTGAAGAGTACTGGGCCCAGGACAGAACCCTGAGTGTACCTCCCTCCATGTGGACATGGACCAATTAAGGACCATGCATTAGCAATGGTTGTGTAAGTCCATCCCACATGGTTCCAGTTTATCAAGCTGGAGGTCTTCTTTGTCAAATACCTTACTGAAATCTAAGCACCCTACATCAACAGCACTCCCTTGGTCCGTTAATCTATTTACATTGTCAAAGAAAGCAGTAAGATTTATCTGGCACAGCCTGTGTTTTATGAATCCATACTGGCTTTTGGTAATTACCCTGTTAGTTTCTGAGTGCTGCAAATCCACTGCTTGATTATCTTTTCTAGAATTTTCCCAGGTATTGATGTCAAGATGATTGGTCTGTAGTTGCCTGGCTTCACCTTTCTCCCTTTTTAAAATATTGGAACAACAGTGGTTCTCTCACTAATTCCTTACTTATTTTGATCTGCATTTTTTTTCCTGCTCCCCATGGGGCAGCTTCTGACAAGTTGGACTGCTTTTTGCATTTCCACAAAGACAGATGCAAAGTAGGAATTAAGAAGTTCAGCTTTCTTTTGTTGCCCATCACCATATTGTCATCTTCTCCAACCAGCGGGCCAACCGTTTCCTTGTCTTTTCACTTGTTCTGTACATACTCAACCCTTTTTTGTTATTTTTGGCATTCATAGAAAGCCTTAGCTCATGCTGGGCCTTATCTTTTCTGACCCCATCCTTGGAAATTCAGGGTATTTCCTGATAACTGTGCTTTTGTTATATGTCCCTCTTTCCATTTTTTAAACTTGTCCTTTTTGTTTCTCAGTTTTGTTTTTTGTTTCTCAGTTTATTTTGTTTCTCAGTTTATCAGAGAGATCACGGTGCAACCACATCTCCTCAAGTGCCTCCCTTTTCTCTCTCTCTCTTTCTCTTTGCACATTTTTTCAGAATTCCCAGCTTTCCTAAACCATTTCCTTCAATGAAATCCTTCCTACTTTTTCCTTTTTTTGCTTGTTAAAGTCAGCTCTCTTAAAATCTAAAACACTAATCTGGCTACCCTCATTTCTCCCCATCTGCAATATGGTGAATTCTAGAATCACAAGGTCATGCTCTCATGAGGCTCCTACTAACTCCACTCCTTTCATAACTTTTTCCTTATTAGTAAGTAATAAGTCCAACATAGGTGATCCTCTAGTTCCTTTTTCTACCTTTTGGATGATGAAGTTGTCTGCAAGGCATATCAAGAGCCTGTTGGATCTCCCGCTTGCCACAGAGTTTGATTCCCAGTTGATATCACAGTAGTTGAAATCTCCATTACCTCAGTAGTGTGTTTCCTAGATAACTTGGCCATCTGGTTTGATAGGGTTCAAAAGAGAAACATACAAAATTAATATATGAATATTTTTTCAGTATCAGAAAAACTAACACTGCTTTTAAATTAAATTAGATTGGGTAACAAAAAAAGTATGTGTGTCACACAAACAATAACAGATTAATCTTACAGTATTTTAATGTTGAATTCAATTTGTTTTCAGAATTTATCTACCAGGCAAAGTTTTGAGTAACAGACAACTTTACTTTGATAATAGTCTATATTTACAAGTTAATTGAAAGAACCAAAGTGTTACCCATAAAGAAGTAGTGTTTGATTTTCTGCTAAATTTCACCTCAGGAACATCTCTCTTAAGGGTCCAGCAGTAGTCAGTTGGCATATTGGGACTCTCCTTGCCTTGGTACTGCTTTTCCATGAAATTGTTCTCCATGTTTGTCTGCGCCATGGTTGTCAGGGAAAACAGTCCGCATGAGAGTCCAAGAAATAAACTTGCAGTGACATGTTACATCTCATAGCTTTAGGAGATCACTCACTATTTTGTGATAATTTCTTACATTATGATTTCCACCAAAAAAACCCCAAACCCTTTGCTGATGTTTTTGAATGATTGCCATGCAGCCTTTTTAACTTCACTTAACTCTTCATCAAATTTGTCATCTTTTAGCAATTCTCTTGCCTTGAGGACCTACAAAAATACCTTCCTTAATGTTAGCATCACTAATCCTGGGAAATTTATTCCTCAAGTACATGAATTCAGTTCCTGTTTCAGCTATTGCTTTAACTGGGTTTTTCTTAAGGAAGACTTTTCAGACTCAGCAAGTGGACTGTTTACCACATTCTTTTTTTCTGGAACAAGTGAAGTACGTTTTGGCCATTCTTTCTGAATGTAATGTTCTTTCCTGTTCCTATTGTCCCATTTACACAAAAAAACAACAGTACTTTTTGTGTCTAAGTTGCAGGCCAAGCAGAATTGCAATGACCTTCAGGTCTCCACAAGTATTCCATTTATACTTTTCATACTGGATCTTTTCCAAAAGTAGGTTCATGTTCTCATACTACTGTTCATATTACCAGCATGGGCTAACGGTACAGATGGTAATTTATTTCCATTATGAAGGACAGCTTTCCAGCTAATTTTTAAGGAGTCAGTGAACAAGCACCCACCATTTACATTGTGTCCATAGCCAGCTGCCTCCATAACCAAAGGAACATCTTTACAAAACGCTAGACCATCTTCTTGGGAGAAGAATTTGTTAATCATCATCATTGTGCTTGTTAGGCAGAAATAACCATAACAGTCTGATGAATGTCTTTTGGCTCCCTCCAAATCATAAGAACGCAACAGCATGAACTCTTTCACCATTGTGTTAGAAGCTTTAACACATGTCACACAACAAATGTGAGGTGGCCCAATTCTTATCTTAGTCACCCACTTTACAACCAAAATAAAGCATTTTTTGATATGTGGGGTGAAGTTTTGTTTCTGAGAGTTAAATGTTAACTCATCACACACAGAGCAGAAAGTATCAGGATGATTTACAGTTTCATGTCATGATAACAGGTAGATAAGTATAACACTATTACAATCAATATAATATTTAAAATAATAAGCTAGATTTTGCTCAATGATTGCAATAATTAGATTACAAATTATTCTTACAAGTAGTTAAAATATAGTACCGAAATGTCACTAATTGAACATGAATAATGATGAAGATAGGGTCACAAGAAAACTAACCCTAATAGAAAAAAAATCTGATTTAGTTTTTGAACTCTGTGAAAAAGCCTGCTTAGAACACCTGTTACAATCTATGTGACAAAATTGTTGCTGACCAGTGTTATTTACATTATCAACAAATCATATTAAAACATTCCATGTATAGTTGTTGCTTTTTGAAATCTGGCTGTTGAATTAATGAATTCAGTAGGAGCTTCCTGTTAATTAACAATTCAGTGCACTTCTGCAGGAAACACAAGAAATTGACAAGCGTGCACATAGGAATATATTATCCTAGATACACGGCTGCTTTTTGTAACATAGGTTTTTAAATATATACAGTGTGTATGTGTGTGTATCCAAATTGCAGATATACTAAAGGAAAAGTTCTGCTTTGTTGAGACTTTGGGCTCCCTCGCTTCCCTACATTAATATCACTATAGGTTTGTTATCATGTTTTAATTTTTAACTGGTTTGCTTAGAAAGGCTCAAATCTTTGTGCTCAAATCAGAGCTTTTGATTTCAGAAGCTAAATTCTTATATAAGCACTAAATATAAAATGCTATCTTTTCTTATTAGCTTTGAAAAAGCATGTAAGCTTCTCCTTTACTGAGCAAATACAATGTGATGTATGAAACAGTGCAAGTTGAATGTCAGGCTCTTAGCTGTAATCTTGGATTTTGTAGGGCAAAGTAGTCCTGGCATAGCTAGAAGATAGCACGAGTTGAAATTGATCTCTTTTTCAGGGTGTTCAACCTGTTCTCAACGAGCTGATGCCAGATATTGCGATGGGTGTGTCAACTATGTCTCTGAAGGACAGAAGGTTGCCAGAGCTTACAGTTGACACAGAGCCTGTTCTGGAGGTTACACCAGGACCACCTCAGCACATTTCATGCATTCAGACAAGGCACATACACAGTTCACGGAAGAAACATTCAGCTGAGCAAAAGTTGGATCCTAGAGAGAATCAACAGGAATATCCTGATTTCTATGATTTTTCAAATGCTGCATGCAGACCTTCTACTCCTGCCCTTACCAGGCACACCCCTTCACCTTCTCAAGGTATTTACTTTGGCCCAGATTTATATAGCCACAATAAAGCATCACCCAGTGGCTTAAAAACCACTCAGTTACCTAATCACATTTCTCCTAAAAAACTAGAAGATCCTAGGAGAGACTATGCACTTTCTCAAGAAGGGCATCCACACAGACAAAAGAATGAACCGATACACCTCGATGTCTTAGAACAACCTCCCCAGCGGTTGGACTTAGCTTTGGCTGCCCAGGAGAACACTGGGAATATCTCAATTCACGCAAGGGGACGAACAAAAATAGAAACCGATTTAACGTATGGACTAACCTCTAGTCGACCTTCTCTGCCTTCTTACAGTTCAGAAATCCATGATGAACCATCTAGCAGGAGATTGGCCGACACTGAGCCTCTGGAAAGTGAAGCCCAGAGAAATGCAAATTTGGAAAGGGAAGAGGTTGTAAGTAGAGGAAGAAAGTCTCCAGACTTCCTGTACAAAAAATCTGCCCTCTGAAAACCCTCCACCTCCACTTCTTCTCTGTGCCTAAGAATTGTGAAAGATCATTCTTTGAAATCACTGACCTGAAATTTGTCAGGCCAGTTTTTTTCAATGCCAGCGCTATATCATTTTTTTAATTATTATTTTTGTATATACATGGCTTCATTAAGAGATGGCATGCTCCCAGTTTATTTGGAATGCTGCTTCAGGGTTTATGTTTTCAACAGATTTTGTTAAAACTCTTCTCAAAAATATATTTTCACTGGCACCTTTAAAAAAAAGAAAATAAAAGGTAGCCTTTTGCACCTGTACATTAATTTTATTAGTTTTTATATTGGTATGTTAAACTTCTACTGTCGTATTTTATAGGACTGTACATTCATACTATTTTGGGTGTCTCTTTTTTTTTTTTTTAAATCATTTCCTGGTATTCAGTGTGCATTAGGCTGCATACTTCCATACTTAAGATGTATTTTCTTACAAGATGGTGAAAATATCTGTCTTTATTTTTTAATGATAATAGGAATTCCAAAGAACAGCACACTTACATAACTGCTCTGGTTAGGTTTGCAACCTTTCTGCTCTACCACTAACACAAGAATCCAGCCTAATGTGTTTGCTCTGTTTACCAAGTCTCAGGCTGCTAATGTAGCAAGCACTCAATAATGTCTGTGGCCAGGATTTTCTTTAAAAGTGAGGGGTACAAGTCTGTTAGGATTTCTGAAAATCTCCTTTTCTTTTCGGACATGAAAACTGAAGAAATACTTTCTAAGCCCTTTGGTTACAATGCAACTAATGCTTCAAATGGGTGACAGTCCTGTAAGACGTGCTTATCTGATTCTTCATTTTAGAAGGATACACAGATGGTAAGATTTCATAGCAAGCACAAGGAGGTGAGAAAATAATTGCTTAGCATTTGACATGGGTGTTAATGCTACATTTTGGTAGAACAGGCTTCCTCCCCAGGGGAGACGTCAAGAGGAATGCTTATTGCCTTTTTTCTGCCTCTGAAGAAACCAAGGGCTGCAGTTTTAATGATGTTACTGAGTGCTATATATTTCTTGTTTTGTGGACAGAAAACAGATTGGAGAATAATGGCTACAGTTTAATGAGCTATAAGCAGTTTAGCACTTACTTTCTTCATTCCCCCCTTGAATACTTCGGGGGTTTGTTGAAGTTGGTTCTAACATATTGGAAGGGAGGTTCTTTTGGGTTTTATGAACATAAAGTAGAGATGCTGGGCTGATAGATTATTGCCAATAAGGATGGCCATTTCAGCAGTCAGCTGTTTCAGGTACTTGCCACATATTTCTCTTGCATGGACTGGAAAAATTTCAGTACCTCTATGTGGTAATCCCAGCAAAGACTTGACATGGTGGTTAGTTCTAAAAATACAGCTCTTCCATCACTTGAACACCTTAGCCAGATTGTTAGCTAACCTTAAATCTGTTTTTAGATTTTTAGTACTTGAGACTGTTGAAAAGTAAAATGTTTCAGTGTTTAAATTTTTTTCTGAGCTTTTTTTTTTTTTTTTTAAAAAGTCTCCACTGATCTTTTAGTTCCCACTTCCTATTTCCTTTAGGGGGAAAACACTGTTAAAGAAAAATGAGAATGAGTAGCCTATCCAGATAGTTTACACTACATTAATTTTGCTATAATTCAGGCATTGTGTTGCATCTTTGTGAACTGAAAAAATACATTCTATGAAAAGTTGAATTCATTGGTAAGACAGCACCCTGATGATAGGATAATTGCTTAGTGCCATTTGCCAAGCATCTCTTTAATTATTATCTGGAGTTTAAACATATTTTCCATCAAACTTGCTTCAAGAATGTTTGATGCTTTGCTTCAATGTTGACACTGATAAAGATAGGATTCCATTATTTTGTCATCTCCAGTGCCAGCAGTCAGTCAGTCTCTCTCCCCCCCCCCCAACTACACAAAGCCAGTTTACCAGTGAAATGTGATAGGCTTATGTATGAGAAACTCAAGGCATACATTTTCAGTCACAAAAGTAGCTATTGAATTGATTCAGATAATCCATTTGGACTCAGTTTACACTTTTTTTTATGAGTAGTAGAAAAACAAACACTCCATAAGTGAAGTAAGCTATCATTTCACAGAAGAGTTTTAGATGAAGGTAAATATTGAGAAATAATTCTGTAGCAGACCTAAAGAGTGTTGTACCACTTTAACAATCTAAACCTAAATATTCTGATTTGAACAGAAGAACCTAAAGAGATTTGGGGGGCTGTAGAATTCCGGCTTCTTGCCTTTTCCTCTGGGCCATATATAAATGGAACATTAATCCCCATCAAGATTTGGGGTATGTTAATTGCTAGTGTTAATTACAATCTCAGTGAAATTATCTGTGGACCTCTAGGTAACTCTTCTACTGACTCTGCATAAAGAATTTCATCCCACCTACCCATCCCTTTTTTAAGGAGAGTCATCTTGATTTTATCCTGTGTGTGTTTGCAAAAAGTAAAAAACATTTTTAAAATATATCTGACCCAGTAAATCAGAGGAACAGTTTGTTTTCAAGGGATTAATTTTGCCTAAGAATAAATTAATAAAAGAAATTGTGACATAATTGAAATTACTTTTACATTCTGGTAAAATGCAGGATTCACAAATCAACAAATAGTCTCAACTGTTCTATGTTACTGTAATAAATGAGTATAGACCATTTTCAAAGCACAGTACAATTTTAAGCAATTTTTAAAAATACATTTTAATGAATTTTTAAAATAAATTTGTTGGAAGTCCCAAATATTCTGTAACCACGTGTGTGACAGATAATTGCTGAACTTACATAGCTTCAGAATGTTGCTAATTTTGTTGTAACAGTATCAAATTTGATCTGAATGCATCCTGCCAAGAAAAAAAGGGGATTTAAATTGTGGCTGAGATTCATTTTCATTTAATTTCCATGCATGTGCAATATTTGTATGAGAATTTTTAAAACTATGATAGGCACAAGGAGCTGATGCTTCTCCAGGTGTGTGGGGTCAGCTGCATTTTTCAGAAGACAAAGGGCCTGCTTCTGGAGAAGGACGTGCCACCCAAGGCACCTTGAAAACCCACCCAGTGTGTTTACAAAGACCTTTTCTGCAATACTAACAGCTACTACTTGTAGTCCTGCAGGCTTACAATAGTTGCCCTGCTAACCATTTAGTGTACTCCATATTTGAATTTCTGTTTTCAGTCTCTTTCTGCCTCTTAAGGAATAGGAAAAAGCTAGTATCTTTTCCTTCAATACTTTTGTTTTTGCCGTGGAATATTACAAACCGTTTCCACCTGTTATGTAAGTTATTTTGGAAATGCCTGAAGATGCCACTCTTATTCTAGTTATTTCCAATGACTGTGTGTTTATATGGTGGATGGATAGTTGGGGAATGCTGGGGAAAGCTGAAGAATAAAAAACTATTTCTATACTTGTATGTATTTCTGGGAGATGTTAAGTGTCCATGATAAAGTTCTTGTGCTGTTACTGGTATAAAGTCAAGTGCCTTCAATGCTAAAGGCTCAGAAATTTTCTTAAACCAACTTCATGTCCTATGCAAGTGTTTTTTCTACAACCTGCATAACCAGTACTTTGTAAAATTTGTTTACGCTTCAATTGTACATATTGTTTTTTTAAGAAAAATAGAATTTTTATTTAGGTACCGCCTAGAATTGAATTCTAGTCTTGTGCGATGCATTGTAAAACAATACATTTCTCTTTTGAGTACCATTACAATTGTAAAAAGGTTTTCACTGGTTCTATTTTTCTACTGTTGCTGAGAAGCATGTTAACACTGACTTTATCATACATATAGTTGGTATTTCAAATAAATGGCTTGTCTAGAAAAATGCAAGTGTAACATATTTTTCATTACAAATGTTCCACTTCTGTGAAACTAAGTTTTTGAAAGTTTTTGAGAGTATAAAGATCTTAATTTGAACAGTTACTAAACACATTGTGATATTAATATTCACAATCTGCATGTTTGAAAAGTACCAATAAAACTCTGTGGCTACAGTAGGCAATATCTTTATTTGAAACAATTCAAGTGCCAAATAATGAACATTAAAGGGAAAAACAAGGAAAAGAAAAAGACCATGATGAAGACCTCAAGCATGTGTTTTCAAATAATTGGGAAGATTATGGAGGTAGGTATACCACAAAATGTAGATTTCAAGGAGACAACCTACTCTCTTCAGTGTATTCATAAAATTCATCTCAAATTTTAGGATTTTTCCATTATGCCTACCCTTCTGCTTATCTTCCATACTGTTTTAACTTTCAGGCTAAAGGAGTTCTGAAGAAGCTTGGTCAGTGCCGTGTGTTGCTTTAATTGGCTCTAATTCTATACTGTGGCTTACAGATTTGTTTTATAGTTGGAAAGATACCATTCAAGAGAACCACTTTTAAGCAAGGTATTAAAAGGGGTTTCTCTTTGTCTCATCTGCATTGAAAGTGTTGACTATAATAGTTACTGTATGAGAGGAAGCTAACCATACCACACTTCAGCTATTAATGACGACTCCGCCTTTCGATGAACTCACGGTATTCAAACTGATTGAATCACCTTAAGGATCATGGCCTACCAAAGCTGCCTTAATACAGTGTATTCTACATCATGTTCAAGTGTATTGTATATTATGGAGCTCACTTGATTTCTGGCCAGTCATTAAGTCAGGCCACTAACAGGATTGTGGTAATATAAATATGGATGCACAAAATATTTCAAGTAATCCATGTCCAAACTGAAGTACATTTTGGTCCACATATGGAACAAAATGGATGGTTTTGTTCTGGGAAGAAGTGGTACAGGGCAGGGATATAGTTAAGGACATTGGCAGCAGTGGTTGAAGAAGGGAAGGTAGTGGGAAGATTTGGAGAGGTAGGCAGGTTGGTGGGATATCCACACTGGAGACTGCTGAAGGGAGTGATGCACACCAGGCTTATCCTACTTGCCTTGTAGAATCACTCAGGATATCTGGATTTTGGTTTAGCCCAAACTCATAATAATCACATTATTCAGTCTTTTGTTCCTGCTCAACTGCAGCTTATCTAAAATGGCTTGGCAGAACTTCTGGAATGTGATGGTTTGTTCCAGGTTTGGTACAAAACATTTTCCTTTCCATGAATGACCCTACTATTAAGCCATCACTGGTTATACTTCACCTTGGGCAAGGCTGACATATAAAAAGAATATCCAGGATTTAAATAGCCTCATAGACTATAAATACTGCAAAGTATGTCAGGCTAGGCACTCCAGCCTGCATTGCTTGCCTTTGAGATGACTGGTAGGCTCTATAGTACCAAAACATTCCCCACATTGCTGCATTTTACACTCACAACTTATCAAAACAGTAATGTGAGTGGTGTCCAAATACAAAGGTAGCTAAGAAGAACCCATGTGCAACTTTATTAGTAAATTGACAGTGATAAAAGTGAAACAACAAAGGGAAAAGTATTTCGGAGACAACTTATTCCTATTTTTGTGCATGAAAGATTTTGTATGCTGGTGCAGATACCTGTTCTTTAGAAAAGTAATTTATTTCCTGTTTGCTCAAATAGTTACAATAAATCAGCGTAATTCATCAATTTAATTGAATTCTATTACAGTTTGCTTAGATCAAATGGTTGATCTATGTCTGGACTTTCAGATTCCTTACTGGGCAGAGTAGAAAAGATAATCATTTTGGCACTTTAACATCCTAAACCAGTCATAATTCAAGTTTATTGGGGTAATTTTTGTTTGGTGTTGCTCTCTAGCAGGGATAGATTTTGATATCCTTCTGCCTATTATGTTTGCCAGTAGTAAAAAATAGTAAACTGCAGTTGGCAATACTTGGAGGGTTCCTCTTGTGTTATGAAAGATTGCCGAAACTGAAACACCCTGCCTGATAACATTTCTTCAATGCATATTTACCATATTGCATCACACACTCTTAAAAAAAAACCCTCTGTAATTATGTAGAACAATTGCTTATTAGCTCTAATCTGGCAAGTACAGTAACTGATATTCATGACAATCATGTTTGTTATTTTTCATACCATCCTAACAGCAATATAAAGCCACACTGCACTCAAGAGAACCACATATAGTAGTGACTCTTTTAATTAATTTAAAATATAACTAGAGAGAAAAATCATAACCAATGAAAAGCTGAGGATTATCATTCCTTTTCAAAACTCTGTGAGGATGGGAATCAGGCTGAAGCACACTACTGGATGAGCAAAAGCACAATGTACTTTCAGCTTTAAATGTTTAGAACTACGCTTTGCTATTACAACACTCGCCAACTTTAAACATTTTACTGAGGTATTGGTCTACAGCATGTGAATGCTGTGAATCTTTAGTAGTTAGGTGATAAATTTAACCAATAGAAAATAGATGCACTTACATGAAGTTTTTAACATTCTTTGCAGTATTAAGGGCTTGCATTCTCTAACGTAATTACAAAAGATCACAGCCATATTTTACAGTTTGGTAAATAGCTTTGTAGGCTGTTCTTCCTAAACATTTACAATTACATTATATACGTTTTCAGATACTCCTTTCAGTTTTAAAAAGTCAATGGATAACCTGATAATTGTCACCTACCAAACAGCAATTTACACATTCTACACTGGTAGTCAGTTAAAACATTGGTGATAATATCACTAAACCTTTGTACAATCATTGCCTATCAGTAACTGCTGTCTGTAATATGTATTCTGGACTCAAAAAAAGTCACGAATGTCTAATTTTAGCTAAAAGTTGTACTTCAACTATTTCAGCAAGCCATATAATAATCCAAATCGTTTTTTCATAGCAACAGCTAGCAGAATATACTATAAATGAATGCACTAAAACCAAGCGGATATGAAATCTTGCATTCAAAATAAATCTTTGAGAAAGGAGTACCTTGACCCTGAATGCTAATCCATTAAGTACATTTATCTAGGTTTTTCCTTTAGTCATAAAAAGATTTTTGTCACTTATACTATCTTAGGAGGGGATCAATATACTTCCTAAATATGTATCTTCTGAACACTAACCAACCCCTTCTTTGACACAAGTTACATTCTGTGAATCCATGATAGTTACTAGGAAATTGGTGTATGCATATGGCTGCAAATAATAAGCTCTGCTTTCTAGGACACAAATCAAGATGAACAAGACGTTAGATTTAAATTGGGAGGGAAACCCCAGAATTTAGCAGTGAGAGTTATATATGTAGTCTTTTAAGACCTCCAAACTAGTCTAGCTACAGTAGTACTGCATCTGATCTATCCTCCTCCTCTTTCGAGACTGAAATTCTTCGAAAAATTGCTGAATGTCCTCTCGTTTAACAACCTGTTAACAAAAAGAAAATAAATAAAAACAAGACAGTAGTATGAATGTTAAAGTATAAAGAGTTTCACTGATGTTTAAATAATGCAATTAAGTCAAATGCACCAATAAAAACCAAAATAATAAATGTACAGAAGTCTGACATTAACATTTGGAAGTTTTAAAAGCATCATAGGGGTGGGGGAACTTGTCAAACTTCCAGTACATTTTGTGGTATTGAAACCTTATGAAAAAGGGCTCCCAGTTCTCTCATCTTTATTTCCTTACATTTGAAAACCAAACGTATACAAGGAAACTGATGTTCATGAACCTTCACACATTTCCCTCATTTCTGTTATGCTGAAAGGCTTTAGGCAGACATCCTGTCTCCCAAAGTGTCGAGGCCATAAAGATATGGGAGAAAGTGACCCCGATCTGCATTCTAGGAAACAATAAAATTCAGAAGATCATGAACCTTCACACATTTCCCTCATTTCTGTTATGCTGAAAGGCTTTAGGCAGACATCCTGTCTCCCAAAGTGTCGAGGCCATAAAGATATGGGAGAAAGTGACCCCGATCTGCATTCTAGGAAACAATAAAATTCAGAAGATCAAAGGGGGGGTGCCCCAAACTCTGACTAGTAACCAATAGGTCATCAGGAAGATAAGTTTCCCCCAATAATAAGGAGGAGCCAATACTTATGCCAATTTCAGCCAATCATTTGTTAATTGCTGTATCTCTTCGTAAGAAACATGTATAAAATCATCTTCTTTGGGTGTGACCGGGGCTCTTCTCTGTCTTAAGGGGAGACCCCAGCTGACTATATTGGCAAGCTTTCAATAAAACTTTAAAATCTCAGCTGGTACTTTTGTGTCTGATCTTCTGCCAGACTGAATTCTAACTGGGGAGAGTCGGAAACTCTCAAATTTTGCTAACAGTATTTAAAGTGGCTATAGTTTACTAAAATAAATTCAATTCAGTACTACGATATGGAATTGCTGAACTTGAATCATTAACAGATTCCACTTCACAGTGTGACTTAGAATAGGATACAAATGCCTTTTTCTAAGCACCCTTCAGATTTTATCAATGCTAGTTGATCCAACTTCATTCAAAATTCTGTTTGTGAAATGCACTTTTAATAATCATTACCCCCTTTTATACATATTTTGTCTTTTCATTTATATGCATTTTATTTGGGGACCTTCAGAACATGGTTGTGTCCTCTGGTTGGTGGGTAATTTGTGAGTACAATATAGACTTGTAGGGGTAGTAGCTGCTGGTTCCTGGGCTTAGAAGGGGGAGCTAGCAAGGGGTTTGTTGATTGTCCACGCAGAGATTGGATTTAGATCAGGCAGCCTTCTTCTGACTGCCATGCCTTGCAGCTGCCCAGTGTGACTGGCAGAGGCAGCTTGGAGATGTTGCTATTCTGACAGTTAGGCGGGGAATATGGTTGTTATGAGGAGGGAGTGGGCTAGTTAGTTAGCCTAGCTCCTGGGAGAATGAAGGGAGTGTGGGGAGGACTGATGGGGGAGAGAGGGCACACAGTAACATCCTAATTATCATGGGCAGAGGATGATTTGGTGGGAATCTGAAGTCACTCATGGGGAAGGCAGAATTGACATTTAAAATCAATTCCATGTTCCAGCCCTCAACATTCATCCCCAAGCAAAGTCTCTGGATCCTCCGCAGTACTGGGCTTCAGCTACTCCAACTATGCCAGGCTAAATCTGCCCTCATCCACAATCTTATTTTGGATGAGGTAGCCAACTTGGCATAAAGTACTGAGACCTGGGTGGGTCCTAGAGTTAGGGGTTCCCCTCTCAGAAATTCTCCCACCTAGTTTTGAATGTGGCACCAGATGCACAGCCAGGGTGAGTGGGGGAGGTACGGTTGCTGTTGTCATCTGGAAAGCCTTAACAGCTTTCAGAGGCACTGCACTGCAGATAACCAGATGTGAGATCCTGTGACTGAAATTGTTCTAGGGATCAGTTGGGATTGTCGCTGTTGTACAGGCCTCCCTGTTGCTCAGCAATATCTTGCACAATTCCATCACTAGGTTGGTGGGGTCTCCAAGGCTGAGAGACTGATTCATGCTGGTGTGTGTGTGTGTGTGTGTGTGTGTGTGTGTG